GAGTCAGCCTGTCTTTAATGGGATTGCATTGAAATGTCTGCAACTCTTGTTGTCATTCCTTGGCATGATCGTTACTTGAGGGGCAGATTAGAGGTCAATCAGCCAGAGCCACCGGGGCGCCCACAGCTAGCCTCAGGATACTCCCTACAAATGTAAGATCAAAAGGGCAGGCACATGAAAATTACTGTTTACTTTTTATGAATTATTTCCCAGAGATGAGATCATTAGCAGAATCTAAATGCTGGCTGGCTCCTAGTGCAAGGACACTCCTGACAGAGCGCACTTGCCTAGGCACACCTTCCTGCTCTTAAAAGCAAAAGATGTTCTGTTTTTGCTTTTGTGTGATATCTGTATTATGTAAATAACTTTCTTGTTGTTTTTCCCAAAATACTGTCCCTACTTCTGAACATGCTTTTAATTCTTAGATGTTGTCAATTTCTGTTCATTTGTTTGCATGACAAAGGTATTTCAAAGCCTACCTCCATACCCTAGGGACTCTGCAGGAGACACTTTCTTTCTGAAGGATGTAAAACTTTCTGGTAACCTTTCTTAGTGAACAGTGGCTGTTACTTAAAATTCATCTCTGGCCAGCGAGTACTACTGTACTCGTCCTACTGTAAATACATGAGAGAGGTGATATTGGCTGTCAGGGTGAGGTACATGTTGGCAAATGCTGATTCAAGGTCTACTTCTGTGGTAATCTTCACACATCACACTCTGCACATTTTTATCCATGTAAGTGTCTGGCTTCTGTTTGATCACAGTAATCAGGGCTACTTAGAAAGGTCACAGTATATTTGCCCTTTTGTCTTGTGTCTGTAGCTATGAAAGTATGACTTTGGAGCAAATGTTGATTGAATTCTAAAGAGAGTGGCAGTAGCCTGGAACATGTGTAGCCACTGATATGCTAAACTTGTGATTCCAAGTAGAAAACTCTTTTCTATTTAAAATAACTTTGAAAAAGTTACCTTGAAGGACTGTATACAGGGTGGATATTACTCTTTAATGAAAACCAATATGAACTTCCCTTTTATCATCCAACATGTTACTGACCTTAAATTCTAAAGAGAGTGGCAGTAGCCTGGAACATGTGTAGCCACTGATATGCTAAACTTGTGATTCCAAGTAGAAAACTCTTTTCTATTTAAAATAACTTTGAAAAAGTTACCTTGAAGGACTGTATACAGGGTGGATATTACTCTTTAATGAAAACCAATATGAACTTCCCTTTTATCATCCAACATGTTACTGACCTTAATGTGAAATAATCAAATGCTGCCCAGCATAGGAATGAAACTAAATCTGGCTGGTAACCAAAATAAAATCCCCATAGCTGTTTTTGTATGTTCTTAAAATGTGTGCTTTGAGATTAGGCAGTTGTCTTCTTTCCCCTCTCTGCTATTTTTCTTAAAATGTTGTGGGTTTATTTTTTTTTTTAAAGGGGGTGCTTTTGCAACCCTCTCCTATGATAAGAAAGTTCAGTGTTGCACTCTTTTATCTAAATCCTTATTCTGCCTAATCTGGCTAAATATTTTGAATAGGTATGTTATTACTTATTTGGAATGATGTTTTCTCAATAACATTAGTTTTTTTGGCATTCATCTTGACAGCAGTAGCTACAGAACTTCTTGCTAGTGTTTAAAAGGATAAACTGAACGTCTCACTTTCCATCTTTTTCTCTTGCTGTTGGATAGAGCTCAGGAAACTTTTTAATCCTTGCAGTGCAGTGGGAGTTCAAAGGAAACATGCACACGTGTGGGCTCACTGGGTCCTCCAAGGTAGGGGTCTGCAAGCGACTATCTGCAGGAGTGGGTCTGGGGTTAATTTCAGCAGCATTCACAAAATTCAGGAGCAGGTGCTGTAAAAATGTCCATTGGTACTAGGCACATTTAGGGCTTGTGCTGAGCTGCACCCAATCTCAAGTTTTCTACCATCTGTCTTTGACTTTTTAGGCTAGATCAGCAGTAGTTAGGGGGATCTCTATGCCTCCCTTCTGTCATGAAGCCATGCTCACAGGTTCTTGAGATGTCAGAGGGCAACTGATTCGGAGCCAGGATGTAGCATGGTTGCTGTGTATTTATTGCAGACTTTACACTGAGGCAGAATCAGATTTCTAATGGCATGGCTCATTTCAGGTACCTTTGCTGTTGGTGTCTTCTTGTAGTCATCATGGAAAACAATGGTTTTAAGATGTCTTTTATTGCAGCTGTGCTTTGGAGACTGTGACATTCAATTTTTTTTAGTTGTTGTTGTTTGTGGGTTTTTTTTTGTTCTTGTTGTGTTGGGGTTTTGTTTGTTTGTTTTTTTAACATGCCACAGTGGTCCTTAAACCTCTTCTCTGCAGTGGTACATCTTGAAGCTAATGGCCAAATCTGGATGGGTTTCTGGAGCCCTGGTCTTCCCAGTGCTGTTAGGATACCAGAATGGTGGAGGTCCTTTCTCCACCCAATTGCTAAGGTGTGCAAGGTACACTTGTTAACTGATAGCTGGTAAATTAACATTTCCATTTCCCTATGTGAAGCCTTATCTTTAGAGACAGGTGTATTTGTGTTGGGAGAGGGGCTATTTTTGGCTATACTGTAGGAAAGCCTGAAGGTAATGAGTTGTGCATAGTAAATCTTGCTTACTCCATAATTTCCACTACATTTCAAATTAAGGGCCTAAATTAGGGTTAGTGTCAGACTTGTTCTTTTACTATGTCCTAATTTCGTTTTAAAAGCACATAGCTAAGGACTTTAATATGTTTTAGATTCAGTGCTTGTAAGTTATACTAGAATCCCTAAGGGAGCCAAAATAACTTATTAAAACCTTGCAAATGTTTTTGACTGCTGCATTCTATTATTTTCTATTCCAGTGGTAGCATACAGCCCCTGCTGCTGATGGGCGGAGGAACGCAAACCTCCAGGGCCCATTAGACTTAACTTGTTTACTGCATTGATATCTATATGTTAAATGACAAGAGAGTTCAGGTTATTGAATAATTTAAAATTCAGCTCTAATTGGTGTCATATGACCTGGAAAAGGCCATGGATGACGCCAGGAGCATGCTGTGAAATTCTTATAAATAATTCATAAATTAGATCATTCATTTGCCTGGATGTCTTGTTAAATGCAGAAGTTTGTAAGTAATAACTGATGATATAACACCTGTAAGTATTTAGTTCATATGCTGGAAGGTAATCTACCTTGATGATCTTCTAGCAAAACCTGCCAGAGTACGAGAGTTAATTGCACTAGGGAGAATGCACTACATTTATTTGGGATGGGCTTTGGCAAGGCGCACCGTGCAGATGTTGCATTACGCATTCTCTATCAGCTAGACAACTATTCTGTGTATGCCCATGTTAAAAATGCAGCTCATCACTCTTCTGCTCTTATTTCACATGAACTCCAAATGCACTGGGAAATGGTAGTGACCTGCTCTGCTCACAAATAGTATAGTTTTTGAAATATTTATCTAGGTCTTGAACTACTGATTCTTAGTAAAATAAAGGGCAGAAGTAAAAAATTGAAGTCAGAAGATTGTGATTTTTTTTTTCGTTTTTATAATGTTGTCAGTACCCTGAATGTTAATAGTTAGACCTGGTGCCGTCATGACTAGTAAGTATAGTGGCATTTTTCTAGAGTGCAAACAGGAATGATATAGTTTTGTTTTGGAAAGCAAACATGTTTGCTTAATTTTGGTGGTCAGGTATTGTGCTGCCGTGCGTGGGCACCGTTGGGGCTTAATGGGCATTCTGCTCACAGTCACTTCCAGGACTCAACGTACAGGGGCCTCGCTTTGGTTTTCTTGGAGCACTGTATTATTAATAACTGCCTTATCAGCCAGCATCAAACCCGTTTGCTGATCTGAAATGGAAGCATTTGTTGGAGATTATCTACAATATTTGTGGAGCTGGAGAAGAAGGGTGTCATGTTTATGCATGCAAAATATATACTTAAAGCTGAGTGCCAGCAAATGCTCACACGCCACTTTGAATGCAGGTTTTTTGTGCACCTGGCATCCCAGCTCAAACCCTCTTAACAAAGAGGAGGAGAAAAATTGAAGGCAACACAAACATAAGAGGTGTTCCTGTGCTGTCAGCTAGCAGCTATAAATTCACTTTTTTTTGTGATGTGATTCTATTTTATTAGTTTTATTTTTTTTTGGCTGCACCTGTTCAGTGTATTGAGTTCAGTAGATTTTCACAGGAAAAATACAGGCTTGTGACTGCCATTCATATATTCTTTCTTAGATTTGAGACCACTTGTTTATTCAGTGGAATATGGCAATCATAGCAATACATAATTTCTACAGAAAATGGTATTTTATTTCTTCCCTGAAGAATGGTCAGCTCACCTTCCAAGTTTTTTACTGTGTTTATATCTTAGGTACTGGCAGAGGCAGTTGCTGAACTGTTATGTGGATATTTTGCAGTATCTCATATTAGCTTACTTATTATAGAGATTTTGATAAAGAATTATATGATTTAATGAAAAAAAAGATAGACTTGAGTAAATCCTACTAATTTACTTTACTTCACCTTTTTACATTCTCCTTGATAAATTCTTACAGACTCTTGGAAAGAATAGCTCCTTAATCACTAGTAATGCACTTCAAACAGTCCTATCATTTGAAATAATTGTTATTAAATGGCATTTCTGTTGGCCCGATATCCTACGTGAGCTTATTTATAATGTATTTTCCTCATTCTACTGACAAGAATGAGCTTCTACTGTCGATAGACCTGCAAACCCAAGTCCAGGCTTTACTCAGATGAGACCTGTATGTACATCAGCAATACGTACGTGGTGGTGACCAAGTTCCAAATTTAGAACGTATACCTCAGTAAAAGCATCAGCTAGGTCACAAATACGTGCCCTTGGTGCTCTTTAAGGTGTCCCTGCATATGGTAGCCTCTTATTTGTCCATTTAGAGATTTTTTGCTTCATCTTTAGATAGCTTTGAATCTCTGTGTTGCTCCTCTGATCGCTGATTGTTTGTTGTTGCCTTTTTCCAGGGTCCCTACTCAGATCAGCACAATGGACTAGTTCTGAAACTGCATGTTCCTCCCTCTGTTTCTGCCCCACCAAAAGAATCTGCAGAGCTGAAAATCCAGGTTAGAGAAATATTCTCAGGATACAATTGGGAATAATTTTAGTTTGTCTCACTTTTGGGGTTTTTTTTTTTTTGGTATTCAAATATATTTCAGCTACAGCCTACAACCCCAGGAGCTGTAGGTTAAACTGTAATGCTGTTAACATCTGTAGAAATCTTGCTGTTCACCATAACAGCCCTGTGTTTTGCTAGGACCCCATTTTTCATCCTCAGAGTACAAGACTTATCAAAGCAATGATTTTCTGCTCTTTCCTAAACATGTTTCATGCACACAGAACTACCAGTAAAATCCATCAGGACCTTGCCTGTGTTGAGACTGTAGGATCTGATCTGTTACTAGTTCATCCCTTGAAGTACAGAGCCCTGTGTGCTGGAGTCAGTCTGTAAAGGTTTCTCCTCTGCCTGCGCCGTGAGTTAGCACTGCAGAGCACACAAGTTGCATTCAGGAAGAATTTGCAGAGAGCATAATGCTACGTGCATAAAATTGGTGTGCTGTTTGTAGGAAGTTTAAAGGACTGGATGTTTGTTTAAGCTCTACTCTGAATCCCTGAGCAAAAATTACTGGGATTGCAGTAAAGATTTTGTAAAGCTCTCCACATGTCTTCCTCTTTAAACCCTTCTAAAGATTATTTGAACTATTTTTTTAATATCTCCTTGTTTCCATGCAAGAGTTTCACATCTGATCAGGTCTTATTAACTCCATATGTTGCAAGGAACAGTCTGAGTTTGTTTGTTTGTTTAAGCCTCAGTTAAAGGAAGTTGTATCTTTAAATACAGTACAGCAAGCCTGGAAGAGCTCCACAGAGAGGAGAGCACAGCTGTTCCATCATGGTCCATCATGGTTTCCATGTGTCCCGTAGGCAATATTTTTCTTAAACTCATCTTGTAAAATTACCCAATTCCTTATGCTTATGCATCTTTAGACTCACAGCAGTAGGTGTGTCTTCTGGATTTTTTTTTTTCTTTTTACTCTTCCCCTTCACCTGGCCTGTATCTTTCAAATCTGCCATGACATGCTGTGGTCTCATCTGATCCCTCATAAGTATAAATGCCAGTCCATTTTCCCTGCAGCTTCTACCATCTAGCTCCAGTTTTCAATTGAAACATTAACAGAAAAACATAAATTGATGAAAAAGTTGTTGACTAGCTTCAAACTCCCAGAAGTTAATTTTTCTTGGGGCTAGACCCTGCAAATACTAAGTAGCTGTCAAAGGCACGTTGGAACTTGGTCTTCTGCCTAACATGACCTGCTTCTTCTAAAGAAATAAAAAAACCCCACTCACATTCAATGACATTAATGAGACTTTTCCCCCCTGCAAACATACTGTAACTGTGAAATAACATTAAAGTTTCTCTACCTTGTTATGAAGTCTTTAAATGTCAATGCCATTTCTGAGACCATCAGGGCAGAGTTAATGGCGGCCAAGGTCAACAAATGCTAACTGGTACCTCTCTTTTAGGGCCTTCAGGGACTCTTAATAGAGTCTCAGCCATGAAGTTAATTTGCAATGTGGACCTTTATTCTTAAACCTGCTCCTGATGATTATTTTGTACCATCTTTGTTCGTGTGCTTAGATTTCTTAACATGCTCTTGTCTTTTCAGTCAATAAAACAAGCAGCTAAAAGAAATTGTCAGTTATTTCATCTTTTGAGCTATTTTTTTTTTTCCTTTTTACTTCTTTTGGAGGGCTGCAGAAAGGTAGATGTGTGCTTTCTGTAGACCACCCTAAGGTGCCAGCTCTGATAGAATCCTCTACGAATATCTTTCAGGTCTGCTGCCTTCTGCTGTCATAGGGGGCTGGCAAACTGGCCACCTTGAAAGCAACTTTCTGTTGGTGCCCTAAATGCTTTATTAGCAGAAGCAGGTGATTGAGAGACAATGTGTAACGACAGAATTCTCCTAGTTTTCTTATATTTCTTCCTGTTACTGGTCATCCCTTTATATATTGCCTAATTTAGATTAAAAGGGCTTTGTGGCCTTTATTTATCTAGAAAATATTGCAGACAAGGATGGCATGCTACAAATAATAAATAACAAAACTCTGTCTTTTTGGCAGCATGTTGCATTTCTGCTCAGTTGCCCTGCAAGCCCCTCTGACTTCAAAATATTTTAATGTCCTGCACTTTTCACCCAGCCCAAGCACCAGACTTTCCTCAGACATTTAGCACTGACATTAATGCAAATGTATCCAACATACTGGGCCCTTTGGGGCAAAACATGACATCCTTGGCTCTCAATCACATGACAGAGGGGATATAGTTTTATCCACAAAACTGGAAATAATAAAGTATCAGTATTCAGGTACTAATTCATGTTAATTTACATTCTGTGAAGTCTACAAGAAACTTGTAATTGGTTGTCTTGAAGGGCAGCAGAGTATATTTGGTATTTTGTTTATTTATAAAAAAGAATTTAAATTATACATATAAACACTGCATAGATTTGGATCCTGTCTCTCTCCTAATCATTGCTGGATGCTGGCTTGCATTCCTAAGTTCCTATGTTTTGGGGCTTGCTGACTGCCTTCCACTCTGTTTGGACAATACTTATCTTTGTAAGCGCTGCCAGAGTGCAAATACTACTCTTTCCATCAGTGGATACCAAATTTTCCTG